CGTGGCTTATGTGGCCGCCGCCTGATGAGCTGCAGCTGTGACCGATCAGCCTGTGATGAGGACGGCCAGGTGTTCCTCGCTTGTTTCCAGGGCAACGCTGATGCAGCTTTGGGACGCTCGTCACAATATATATATATATATATATATATATATATATATTATTTTAGTTTATAACAATTCTTATGTTTCGGTATGTATTTTAATAGAAGAGGTAGCCTAGCTTATGTTCATACCGCTCTCCAGTGGGTACATTCAGTGTTGCACTTGGGCCTTCAATGCAGTTGTAACTTCTCAAAGGTTGCATTAAATTTCCTTTAAATACCTTCAAGGAAATGAAAGCAAAAAGTTATTAAATTAAGCAACAAGAATAGTCCTTAAAGACAATACACATTACAAGAATCCATAGTGACGCGCCTTGTTAAGCCTCCTTTTAATTGAGGAATGGTATCATATTTTAGCGTTATTATCAGTTTTAATAATGATTATGCTCATTAATAGGTTACAACGCTGGCCTACACACGTAAAACAGGCTGACATTAAAGGAGTTCCCCCAAAAATGAACATTATGTCATCTTTTACCCATCCTCATGTCGTTTCAGTCCAAACCTACAAAACTTGGAACACAAATTAAGATATTTTTAATACTCTCTTTTTGTCCATCCATTTCAAGTCCACACAAATAACATTTTCAAGATTTAATTCAAGTCTCCAAAAGAGACATGGCCGCTTTATGCGATTAAAGGATTAAATGTATTATTTAATGCACATAAACAATGATTAATGCACAATACAAGTACTTATGATAAAATAAAGCGTAACTGTGCATACTTCGAGACTCATAATGATGACATGGTCATGACTTTTGCAGCGATCTGGTCGAGATTCAGTGGTTAAACTAGCATTAGGAGGTTATTGAGTTAAATGAGAGAGAAAAAAAAACGAGTGACTTGAAGTGGCAGCGCCCTCTTCTGGCTATATTATTAAACGTTGCGTCCAGTTTTTTAACATTGGCCTAAAAAGAGCCCTAGCTTCAAATGCGGACTGGTCTCCATAGCTTGAGGATCAGGGTCCGGGACAGAGTTCTAGACCAACCCCACATTTTTTGATTTATAAAAATGCATTCACTTGTCCTTGAATAAAAAAATTTAAAAAATCACATGAAAGCAAATGTACTTTTTGTTGTTGCAACAGGGTATATCTATTAGGCTACTAATTAACACAGATATAATCCATATTTATAAACTCAGGTTAGTTGCAGCTGGCATAATACAAGCACATAACACTGAATAAATGTCACACACACACACACACACACACACACACACACACACACACACACACAC